CCCACAGCGAGCATCAGAGCAGAAGTGTGAGAGCTGGAATCCTTCTGCAGTGGACTTAATTTTCTTTTCCTCCTCTCTTTCAGGACAGGAAAAATCATTACACTCCTCCCATCTTTGCCAAGAGCTGTGGTGTTTGAGCAGCCAAAACCAAGAGGCTTCAGCACCAAAGGTCTGTGCCTGGAGGGCTCCTGGTCCTGCCCATGATGTGGGGTAACTCAGAGAATGCAGGGTTCCTCTTTTCCTCCCTGCTGGGATTAACTGCCTAGGGAATCTGGGATCTGGGTGAAACTCCAGCTCTCTTGGTGTTCAGGGGTGCAAAGTCTGAGGGACTGCACTTACCCGTGGCTTTCCAGTTCAGCAGGAATAAGAGGAAATGGGGTGCCAAGAGCCGTGTCCCGTCAGGCTGTGTTTCCCTCTGAGGACAGAGAGTCTGGGCTGAGGTGAGATTCCTGGGAGTGCTCGGATGAGCAATCCAGGGAACAGGGAACTTGGGATTGCCACTGCTTCTGGAACCATTGCCTTAGGTCTGCTCCCTTTGTGCCTGTGGCAAGTGGGATTGGTACTGGAGAGAGAGGTGCTGTTAGGAACAAAAGGTGGAGTGAATCCTCTCTGGGGATGTGCAGTGAAGGACTGAATAGCATGGAAGGAGAGTATTTATAAACTATATGACTGTTTCTCCCAAAACTGGGGTGGAGCAGTGATGGGGGTGGTTAGGTTTGGTCTGGGCCTGTTATTCTTTGTGCAATTTTTAAATTCTCTTGTATGATTTACTGTCTGGTATCTTTCTAACAAAAGCTGACAGAAATTTAGGTTAAGGATTAGAACTTGGGTTGCAAAAAATTTGCCAAGGCTGGAGGACTGGGATGATGACTGCTCTCAGGAAAGGTTACTTACTAATACTGTGTCAGATTTCCCGCAGTGACTGTCAGGCCTGAATGGCAGTGAGTTCGTGCTCTTCTCACTGGAGAACTGGAAATAATTTCAGTAGAATTAGAAATTTTAGAAAAATCCAGCTAAAAATTTCACCTCTGTACCCCCTACGTTTTCACAGTTTTTCCCAACTAGGAGCTGCACAGAAGTCAGGCAGGGCCATCAGGGAACAGCTGTAAATTCAAAGGCACAAACAGGAGATGTACCAGCAAAGGGCAGGAAAGGGGAAAGGTTTCAGAAAACATTTCTGTGGTCTAATTAATAATAATTTCTGATTCCCCAGTGAGAAGAACACGAACTCACGGCCATTCAGGCCTGACAGTCCCCTGCAGCAAGAGTTAAGCACGCATCCACAGAGGCAAGTCCGGCATCTGAAAGAAAAAAATAAACAGAAGAAAAAGGTGATCTCTTTTGCTTCAAAGTTATTTCAAGTTCTTAAAGCCCAACCAACATTTGCTCTTGATTTTGGTCGGGTGAATCATGGGCAGTGGCCACGGGTCATGCCATTCATTTAGCTGAAAACCCGGGGTCATTTAGAGGGGACACAAGAACTGTTTGTGTAAGAAAATGTGAGG